TAACAATGTTAAATAATGTCATAGCTCTACTTTTGCAATTACAGGAAGTTTACAAGAAATGTTGGTTGGTATTTTGTCATGAAATTATTACTAATTCACAAACTCCCACTTCTAATTTCTAACACAATAAAATATCTATATAACCCAAGTTTCTTTTGAGTCCTCAATAATTACTCAAAATATAAAAAGGTCCTGAAGGCTGGAGAGATGGCCAGTGGTTCAGAGCAAACACCACTCTTAGAGAGAACCTGAGTTCAGCTCTTGGCACCCATGCTGGCCAGTCTCCACACCTCCAGGAGACCAATGATCTCCTCTGAACTACGAGGGTACGTGCACTCAGGTGTACATACACACACACACACACACACACACACACACACACACACACACGAGTGAGAGAGAGAGAGAGAGACAGAGAGAGAGAGAGAGAGAGAGAGAGAGAGAGAGAGAGAGAGAGAATAGAAACCAGTCTTTAAAAAAACCAACAAGGTCCTGAAAGCAGAGTTTGAGAGCCACTCTTTAATATATGTATCTCTACTGCCTTCTCCCATCATCTTGAGTCCTGCAAATTAAGAACAGCACACTAGGGTCTGGAGAGATGGCTCAGAGGTTAAGAGCACCGACTGCTCTTCCAGAGGACCCAGGTTTAATTCCCAGCACCCACATGGTAGTTCACAACTGTTTGTAATTCTAGTTCCAGGGGATCTGACACCTTCATACAGACATACATTAAATAAATAAATCTTTTTTTTAAAAAGCATACTATTTAAATCCTTTGTGCAATATATTATATGAGGTTCTTTATCCAATTACTTTTCACCTGAAAGAGTAACAAATATATGAATAACTGAAACTCAGCTATAGGAGAAGTATTTTAATTGTCACTGTGGCAATAAACTAGATAGTAAACTGGTCACATCAACTTCTTTGTCACAGACAAAGTTAAAGGTCAACACTACCCCACAGATAAAATTACTCTCTAGTTTGTATTTGTTAACTGACTCTACCAACAGCAAGAGACCTTTGAAAACTAACTCTGTGAATGACAATGTTTAGCTGGTTGCAAACTGTAAAGAATGGTGAGCACAGGTCCCTGATGACAACCACATCACTAGGGGTCAACCTCAAGATGCTCATTCGTTACTCCGGGGGAAATCAGAGTCCAGTCACAGTCCAAGGAGCACAGAAGTCCACTCTCACAGCGGCTCTTCTCTCCTGCTAGGCACTGGGAAGTTCTGACACTCTGCCAGCTGCACAGCTGACTTGCAAACACAAAGAGCTGCTCTCGGTGTGGTGTCTTCAGCACACCGCAGAACGAGCTATCCGTTTCCCTGATGGCTACCCACATGCCATCAATAATGAGATAGTGTGTTCTAATAGTCCTAGGGGACAGATGAACAGATCTGCCTACAGACGCTGGAGGGACTGGCAGGTCCAGAGAGCACTGGAACCTCAAGTAGACACTTCTAAATTACACCAGGCAGGAGGTTAGGATCATCACCATGTTCTTTCCCTTGCAACCCCAAAGGATGTGCACATGCAGTCATCTTAGGAAAAAACTTGGATGATAGATTATTGTCACCACTGGAGCCAATAACAATTTGTTCAGAGATTGTATCTGCAAGTAACAAAATGGTGAACAACTAAAAGAAACTCAGGCCCAAAACAGTCAACACTGACATTAGACTGTAGAATGGACATTAAGTTGCAATTTATTTTCTGATATGAAGCAGACCTCACAGAAGTACCTGGCTCCCACTCTAAATATAGGTTGCTCTTAGCCCTGGCAAACAACCTTGGCAGAACACACTGCTTCGGGATCTGAGACTTCTAAGACTCAGTGGTATAAAAGGTAATAAGGTGTTAGGAGGCTAGCTTGCCACTCACCAGACACCTTAATTACAAGACCTGGGGCTTGTCCTAGATCTGTTCTAAAGAGGGTATTTCGGGGCCTCGGGTTTTCCTGAGACAGCTCGACCATCGTTAGAAAGATATCAGAACCTCAGGGGATGAATGAACCAGAGAAACACAAAAAATTCCCGAGGTAACAAGAGATTGACAGCCCAGTGCCTGAGTTTCTGCACTCTGTCCAGCAGCTGGTCCGGGAAAGCCTGACCCATAACTCTCATTCAGACGACAGGCTGCCTCTAGTGCTCTGGGGAAAAGGCGGGCAGCCAGCCAAGTGCTACCTGTAGGTGCAAGTGTAGAAGCTTGCCTTCAACTTGCTTGGTCTTTTTGACTGTTTCCTAATGTACAAAAGCAGGGTGAAGCATTTAGTTGAAATAAGGCTAAGATGTGGTGATAAAACCCTGCCACTTTAGAGACAAAATTCAAGCGTTTTATTACATGCCAGAGCAAGCAAAGTCTCAGTAAGCATTGAGAATCCCAGTTAAATCCCAGCAGTGACTCACGGGTGGTTACTACATTTGCATGTAGTAGAGTTATTAGGGTAAGGCTTTATTTTTCTGTAGAAACCCAGCTCTGATTACAGATCCTCCAAAAACCTTTCCTTGGACCTTTATCCCTACTGCCAAAAGTTCCGTTCTGCAGTCTGTGCAGACTTGTGTGGCGGTTATTTACCCATGTGGTGAGGAGCCTGCTTACACAGGCTGGGAGTTCCTTGATGGCAGTGACCTTAGGTTACTCCACTGGACACTTTTCAATACACAGCAAGGCCCAGGGTGTACAGCAAGTCCAACTCAATTACAGCTCCACTGGGTGATGTCTCAGGTAGTTCAGTTATGACATAACTCTACACGGACGATCATTAATTCTCGGTGAAATAAAAGAACATGTAGAAGCACGCACACACGTAAGCACTAATTCATGCCACAAGACAGAGACAGGGTGGATCGACCAAAAAACAAAACAAAACCCCAAAACAAAAAAAAAAAACAAAACAAACGTCAAATGTAAAGCCAGTGGGCCACTCGGTTACTGCTGCCTAGTAAAGAAGTGCAAAAGAGCTGAAGGGCGTTTATTTTAGGTTGACCGCTCAGCCAAGTACCCTCCCTGATGCATTCTCGCTTCACATCAACAGTGGACAAAGTCTACCCCTGGCCAAGCGACTTCAAGAGTGTGAAAACTCTTGATGGTAAGGCCCCGTCGCTTGCAGCCGTGCTGTGCGCAGGGCTGCACCTGTTAACAGCGAAACGCGCCCGTCCCTCCGACCCAAGCCCGGGGTTTGCTGACCCGACTGCTCCGGGCGGGGGAGGGGAGGGGACCGAGGGCGACTCGGGCTCCCGGGTCCGAGCTGCCCCTGCCGGGGTGAGAAGGTCGGGGAGGCCGCCCGCGTCCCCGCCGCACTCACTCAGGCTCGCGGGCGGGCTGCGCAGTCGGCCGCGGGCTCGGAACCCGGCTCCGCGCAGCAGCGAGGCCCCGCGCCGGCCCCGCCGCTCCTCATCGTCCTCCTCCTGCCGAGGGGCCGCCGTCGCCACCGTCTAGCCCGGAGCTCCTGCGGCGCGGCGGGCTGGCTGGCGCAGCCTGCACTTCCGGCTCGCGCGCGGCAGTGTCGCTGGCAAATGCCCCCGCCGGCCCCCACTTAACCTGCTCTCCGGCTTCCTCCCCGGAGTAGGAAGCCAGTTTGGCCCTCTGGGCATGCGCGGAACGGTAGGCTCCGCCCTCGCGCTACGGTGGCCGGTAGGAGTAAGAGACGGCTCCGCGTTTCCAGCCCGCGGCTCTCTGCACGCCCGGCGGGGAGCGATGAGGAACCGGATTGCCGAGGCAAAGCGCTGCACTGTCTGTTTGTTGTGTTTTACCTTCACTGCCAAGGCAGACACACATCTTACTCTTACAGTCCCGAGGCCCAGCTCACGGTCGTGTTCACTCTGGACTCTCCCAGATGCCCCTGCCTCTGGTTATGCTCGTCTTTCTATCTACAGTAAACCCTCTATTCCACCATATCTGCGAGCACTCACGTCCTTCCTTGTTATTTCTCTTTTTAATTCCATGAGGAAAAAAAGCAAAACGAATTTGGTTCTCCGTGAACCATGCAGCTAAAACAATACATTAGAGTTAGGGCTTGGAATGAACTTCCAGCAACGCAAAGTTCTACCTGTGTCTGACGTCGGAGCTCAGGAGCGGTTGAATGAGTCAGGAGAGCTGTTTTTCCGTTCCAACCAGTGGGGCCTCCTCTGACAACACTGCTGGGTGCTGCTGCCCTAATAACCTGTGGCTTCACAACGTCGCAGGTAACATTCGGGAGATCTAGGCGAACTAAACAGAAAGTAATTGGCCACAAGGAGCCGGAGGATCTGGCTCCACTTTAAACTAGCCTTGAACTGTCAGTGTGAAATACGGTTTCTGCGCATTAGACAACCTAAATCACTCTAGGGTTTCACCAGTGCAGCGAAGTTTCCCTTTAAAAGGAAATAATCCCAAGAGTTCTCACCTTTTGCCCATAATTTCTGAATTCTCATTGGTGGAACAGGGCACGTCATAGCCACATTTCCAGGGGAAAGTGGAAAGCAAGAATTCCTGGGACGTAGGGCGTGAGTTTATATTTCCATCTATCTTGAATATTAGTACAGTCAGTGGATGACAGTAGGAGTTCAACAAAACTATCGGCTAACTTTATTTCCAATCAACCGAACCCATTAGAGAGGCCTGCAGCGCAGGCAGGTATGTTTCTGTGCCATGGATTACGTATTACTATGAATTGTGTGTTGTTTCTGCACGGTGAAAACGCTACAGACACGGAACCTGAGATAATTTTGCAAAAAGTCTTTTCCTGGAGCCCTGGGCGCTTTGGGAGGGAGGATGCTCTTGTCTCCCGGACCACCGAACATGTCCGGGCAGCAACCCCATCCTCCGAGTTCGGCTCAACCACGACACCCAGCGGCGAGGAAAGGAACGACCGCAGCTACAGCCCGAGGCCCGGGAGGCCCGGGAGGCCCTGCTGCGCAGGCGCCCTGAGCCGCCGCGCCCGCCGGCCTGCTCATCGCTGCGCCTGCGCACCCCACTTGCCCTTTCCCTTAAACAGCGCCCAGGCGCGCCTGTCTCCACTGCGCCGGCGCGAGGAGCAGCTGGCGGAAACGCAGAACCGGCTTAATGGTGACGGCCGCTTCCGGTCGGAGTGAGGCTGGACGGCCCGAGGGGACGCTGCAAGGCCAGAGGTATGGCTGGGAGGAAGAGGGAGGGCGGTTGGAGGTCCTAGTGAGGCGGCATCCTTCCCGCGCCGCAGGTCCTAGCGTGGTCACCCAGGAGCTTGCCGTGGGGTGACGCCTTCCGCGGGGCAGCCGGACCGCGGCTGACTTGTTTCCAGGTGACACTTGGCAGCTTCCGAGTGATTGCTTGCATTCCTTCTCAGAGTGAGGATCCTCTGCACCCCTCTCCCCCCACCCCCGCCGCCTAGCTACCTCGTATTCGGTAGTGTTGGGTTTTATAGGTTGCTTAGGTAAGCAAGCATCCAAGTAACAAGTTGTCAGGGTGTTTCTAAAGCCAGGCACCACGTTGAGGACCTCCGAAAGCTTGTGGTCATCGACTTTATCGAGTGCTAAACTGTGTTAAGAGTGCGTTTGAACTTCAGCACCTGAAGCCTACCAACAGTCGTAATTTGTCTTATTGCAAATTGAAAGCATCATCTCAAACCGCGGCATGCAGAAAAGTAAAATAAAATTGGAGAGCGGGTGAAAGAAATTCAGATATTTAACTTCTCTTGCAGTTGCATTGAACAAAATGTGTATGTTTTTATAGCAACTTGCAATCTTTGTTATCTGTGTTTATAGTTATTTTAAGATGCATGTGTATTCACACCATTGCCTAAAATTCACCATTAGTATAAACTCAGCTGAATCGTTTGCTCCGGTTTGTTGAGGAAAAGTTTGAGATGGTATGCTTTCTACAGATAGACCTATAGAAAATGCACCTGTACTTGGAACATTGAGAACGTATTTCCTCATAGACTTCGTTTTATGTGCATTGTATAGAAGTTATAACTAGCACTATGCACCATCGCGTACCCACTGGAAGGAACCAGGTGGTACAGTCAGTTATGCAAACCATCCTCAGCAGAGCATGCCGTTAACGAAATCTCGGTTAGAAATGTCAGGAAGGACCGCCCCAGGTGGGCTTATCTTGATCTGACCCACTGGGTTAGTTGGGTTTCCTCTGTCAAAAATAAGACTGAGAAGTGAAGTTTTTTCCCTCCGTGAGCTACAGATACTTGCCATGAATCCTTGCTCGTGCAGGCAGCACCCAACTGTCAGCCAGTTTTCCCGGTGTCAGTGTTGAAGCAGCCCACTCCCGGCTCCATGTGCTTCTCCACAAATCACTTGTAAGCATTTAGTAATTAGTTCCGCAAACAAATCTGCGTTGTAGTCATCACTGATAGCACAAATTACTTGTAAGACTTTTCTTTGTGGGGTGGGGAAGTAGAGGGTGGAGACTATTAATCCCCACTGCCTGGCCAGATGCTGTTTGAAGTCATGTGATAAAGCATGATCGTGACTCCTGGAACATACATTTTGCTTGAAGTCACTTTTAGAAAACTTACTTGACTGTCATGTATATAAACCACATGAAAGTAACTGGCATAGATCTCTATAGAACTTACAGGGATATTTAAAACGTCAGACAAGTTTCATCCGTGTGTAACCATGTTAGGAAACATTCTAGACCCGACTCAGTTATTTCCTTGATTTTAGACGTCTCTGGTGAAAAGGCAGTGATTGTTGGGGTTAGGATTGTATTTTTCTTTTTGGTAAAGCGCTTAACGTGTTACTGTAGTTTGCTCTTGTCATACCCTGTGTTCTTTTAGACATACGCCATCTTAAAGTAGAAGCCCATGTATTGGTCATAGCACACTACCTGGCTCATACATAGTCACTGAACACTTGGGAAACAGCAAGCACGAAGATAGGAGCAAAAAGAAATATAATAATGAATCGATGTTTGTGTATCTGTGATAAAAATGAGGCTGTTATAGTCGAGGACTTCCAGCTGGGCTTTGAAGGGCAGAGGAGTTGCCATAGCTGTCACTGAAGGAATAAAGATCATTGTTTGGTTTGTCAGCCACGATTTGGATTTCAGAATGCCTAGGAAATCAAGTTTGGGGGCGCTGGAGAGATGGCTCAGCAGTTAAGAGCACTGGCTGCTCTTCCAGAGGATCCCGAGCTCAATTCCCAGCACGCATGTGGCACCTCACAACTGTCTATAACTCTTGTTCCAGGGGATCTCATACCTTCACACAGACATGTATTCAGGCAAAACACCAATGTACATAAAATACAAATAAATAAATTATTAAAAAAGAAATCAGGTTCTGGTTCAACGAGCAAGTGATTTGTTTAAAACACTGGTGGCAAGTAGTGTGTTTTGATCCAAAATAGAAGAAACATAAACAGACTTTCCTCGGAGACTGGGAAATAAAGTTTACCTCATCCGACCTGATTTTCATTATTAGAAATAATATTTTTGTGTTCTGTGCTAAAATACTTAGGAGCTAGAATGCCGGTGGTGGTTAGCATTTAAGATAAATTGGTACTCAGCTATCGGAAATGAAGCTGTTGAGACCTGATGGGAAGTGTTGGCCAGCGTGGAAGGAAAAGCAGCTCCATGTGGAGCCATCATTTACTGCGTTGACCTGTTTTCCTTGAGTGAATCATAAAGACGTACCGTGATCTAAATCGCCTCTATGAGCCCATTGTTTTAAATATTTGTAGATTGCACCTGCCACTTACAGTCACTCTCTTTTGCTTTATCAGTGCAAACCGGAGGATTTGTCGTCTCTTCCATGGCCACCTCACAAACTTCGCAGACTGTTGCAGCGCACGTCCCCTTTGCAGATTTATGTTCCACATTGGAACGAATACAGAAAAGTAGAGACCGTGCAGAAAAGATCAGGCACTTCAAGGACTTCTTAGATTCTTGGAGGAAATTTCATGATGCCCTTCATAAGAACAAGAAGGACGTTACGGACTCTTTTTACCCAGCCATGAGACTTATTCTTCCTCAGTTAGAAAGAGAGAGGATGGCTTATGGAATCAAAGAAACCATGCTCGCCAAGCTTTACATCGAATTGCTGAATTTACCAAAAGGAGGCAAGGATGCCCTGAAGCTCCTGAATTACCGAACACCTAGTGGGGCTCGCACAGATGCTGGGGACTTTGCCATGATTGCGTACTTTGTGCTGAAGCCACGGTGCTTACAGAAAGGAAGCTTAACCATACAGCAGGTGAATGAACTCTTAGACTTAGTTGCCAGCAATAATTCTGGCAAAAGGAAAGACCAAGTGAAAAAGAGCCTTCTCCAGTTAATAAGCCAAAGTTCAGCACTTGAGCAAAAGTGGCTGATTCGCATGATTATCAAAGACTTAAAGCTTGGTGTCAGTCAACAAACTATATTTAACGTTTTTCATAGCGATGCAGTTGAGCTGCACAATGTCACCACAGATCTGGAAAAGGTCTGTAGGCAACTCCATGACCCCTCTGTGGGGCTCAGTGATATCTCCATCACTCTGTTTTCTGCCTTTAAGCCAATGCTAGCTGCCGTAGCCGATGTGGAGCGCGTGGAAAAGGACATGAAGCAGCAGAGCTTCTACATCGAAACCAAGCTGGATGGCGAGCGCATGCAGATGCACAAAGACGGGGAGGTGTATCGGTACTTCTCCAGAAATGGCTACAACTACACCGATCAGTTTGGCGCCTCTCCACAGGAAGGGTCACTCACCCCATTCATTCATGGTGCGTTCAGGGCAGACGTGCAGGTGTGCATCCTCGATGGCGAGATGATGGCCTACAACCCGACCACACAGACCTTCATGCAGAAGGGCGTCAAATTTGACATCAAAAGGATGGTCGAAGATTCAGACCTGCAGACGTGTTACTGTGTTTTTGATGTGTTGATGGTTAATAATAAGAAGCTAGGCCGTGAGACCCTCAGGAAGAGGTATGATATCCTGAATGATACTTTTACACCCATCCCAGGCCGGATAGAAATAGTGCAGAAAAGGCAAGGTCATACAAAGAATGAAGTAGTGGATGCATTAAATGAGGCCATAGATAACAGAGAGGAGGGCATCATGATTAAACACCCTCTGTCCATTTACAAGCCAGACAAAAGAGGCGAAGGCTGGCTAAAAATTAAACCAGAGTATGTCAATGGATTAATGGATGAATTAGACCTCTTAATTGTGGGGGGCTACTGGGGTAAAGGCTCACGGGGTGGTATGATGTCTCATTTTCTGTGTGCAGTGGCAGAGACGCCCCCTCATGGTGAGAGGCCATCTACCTTCCACACCCTGTGCCGAGTAGGGTCAGGATACACCATGAAAGAACTCTATGATCTTGGCTTGAAATTGGCCAAATACTGGAAACCCTTCCATAGGAAGTCTCCGCCGAGTAGCATTTTATGCGGGACAGAGAAGCCGGAAGTGTACATCGAGCCCTGTAACTCTGTTATTGTTCAGATTAAGGCAGCGGAGATCGTCCCCAGTGACATGTACAAGACGGGCTCCACGCTGCGCTTCCCACGCATCGAGAAGATCAGAGATGACAAAGGGTGGCATGAGTGCATGACTCTGGCTGACCTGGAAGAGCTGAGGGGGAAAGCGTCTGGGAAGCTTGCCACGAAACACCTTCACGTAGGTGATGATGACGAACCTAGAGAAAAGAGGCGGAAACCCGTCTCCAAAATGAAGAAAAGCGTTGGGATTATCGAACACTTGAAAGCACCTAACCTTTCTAACGTAAACAAGGTTTCTAACGTATTTGAAGATGTTGAGTTCTGTGTGATGAGTGGGTTAGATGGTCATCCGAAGTCTGACCTAGAGAACAGAATTGCAGAATTTGGGGGTTATATAGTGCAGAATCCAGGCCCAGATACGTACTGTGTGATTGCAGGGTGCGAGAACATCAGAGTGAGAAACATTATCTCTTCAGATCGACATGATGTCGTCAAGCCCGAGTGGCTTTTAGAGTGTTTTGAAACAAAAACGTGTGTGCCATGGCAACCTCGCTTTATGATTCACATGTGCCCATCAACAAAGCAGCATTTTGCCCGTGAATATGATTGCTATGGCGATAGCTATTTTGTTGATACCGATTTGGATCAACTGAAAGAAGTGTTTTTAGGAATTAAGAAACCCAGTGAGCAGCAGACTCCGGAGGAAATGGCG